ATTTATTTATGTTAGACCCATGCTCTCTAATAGAGAGCAGTGCCATGTCAGCATTCAAACTTTGTGGAGCATATGCACCGATTCCAAAGTCAGTCGCGCATAACAAAATCATTTCCAAAACGCGTTTAATGCTGGCTACGATTTTCACTTGGCACGCATTTTGGCGACTTCATGCGGGTTTGGCCTATTTGTAGGGATGTTTTGCCTCTTTAAAACTTACCTAGTTAACTGTCGACTTATTGAAAAGTGCCCTCCCAGTTCGAGTCACTTCCCGATGCGTCCGCGGCGTCCGAGCGCGCCACTTCGGCTCAGTCCCTCGCTCGTTTCTTCCCGGCTCTTGTGGTCGGTAATTAGCCTCAATAGAGGAATGCGGCAGCGGCACGTCGGGCACGCGCACGTGCGTCCGGAACACAGCCGGAAGGCGCCGGCCGGCGTGCTCCACCGCCACTGAAGACATGTCTGCCGTTGGTCGGAGGGACACTAGCGGACGCTGTGACTGGTCTCGGTGTGGGAAATACACAGGCAGCGACGGAGGGACACGCGTGGGCAGCGGCCGCATGCGGTCCACCGAACGGCTGCTTCCCACCGTTCAAGGATCTCCGCCTACCTGACTTCCAACAGAGTTCGCAACCCAACGGCTTTTCGCCGGCGTGGATGCGAACGTGTGCCGCAAGGAATGCTGTTGTGGCTGAACGATTTCCCGCAGACTTGGCAGTTGCACGGCTTTTCACCGATATTAGTCCGAACATGCGTCACATGGCTTCTGCGGCGTCTGAATAACAGACACGTGGAGGGGTCTGTGCCTCGCTCCTGCCGGCGTTAGGCCGGTTGACTTTAAGTGGGATTTGTGCTCGGCCCGCTGGTCTAGGTTGGGACTGATATTCCACATTGGTCCGATGGGCGGCGGGTGTTCGCAGGGGAGTTGCGGAGAAGTGCGTGCTATTTAACCTCCGAAGGGATGCACTATCTCTGTGCGCAGCACGGGTCAGCCGCTGCGTGTTGATAACACCACGATTATAATTTCTGTGACATAGACTCCACTTAAGTGTTTCATAGCTTTACAAGCTTGAAGCCCGTTGTGACGTTCTCGATGATCTGGTGCAATCCTAGACACGCTCCATTTAGTAAACCTCCCTCGCGTGCCACGTGCAGGGCAAGCACACGTCTCTGCCAGGCGTCGGTCGGACGCGGCCTCGGGGCTCGTCCGCAGTCACTGTCCGTCCCCGCTGCCGGGGCAGGAGCAGCGCGCGCCGGCTGCGGCGCGGGCGTCGGCGGCCGGCGCGCCCGCCGTCCGGCCCGGCGCCGCGCGCCTCCTGGCGGCGGATAACGGGCCCGGCGCGCCCGTCAGAGGCCGCTGCCCGCGCCGTCTCGGAGCGCCGCCGCCGCCAGATTTATCGCCGCCAAATGCCGCGCCGCCGTGTAATCCAGCGCCGGTCGTCTCGTCGCGCACCGCCGCCACGCGCCGGTGTCTGCGCCGCGGGCGGCCCCGTCGCCGTGCAGCTCCGCCCCACCGAAATCTCGACTGTTGGCCTGCCCGGGGGTCGCCGGCGTGTCTCCGGTTCCCCGTCACACGGCGACCTCGCCCATGACGTCACGGCGCCCTCTGGCAAGGTTGGGCCGCGAGGCAGCTCACTCCAAGCGCTCTTGAGACGGCTCTTTCCAAGCGCTCTCATTCTGTCCTTCGCGCGAGACGTCGCGTGGGCTGTTGCTTCTAGGGGTGTTTTGAATTGCGGTTAATTCGCAGACCTGACCCTTGATGCCCGAGCTTGACTGGCTGGTCGATAAACGGCGAACACAACACGCAGCTTCTCCGCGCGTCGCTGCGCGTCGTAGCGCCACGCCTCTCCGGCGCCGCGTCGTAGCGTCGTAACGGTGACGTCGCGGGCGCGCGCTGACCGGACGTGACCCGGCGGCGTCGCCTTGAACCGTGGCGAGCGGCGGCGGGGCGGCCTTTGAGGCGGCGGCTGCGTCGCGTGTCGCCGCCGGATTCCACGGCCGCGCTGCCTTTGACGACCGGCGGCCGTAGCGAATGAGGAGGCTGCCGGCATCTGCCGGTCACCGTGGGACGGGCGCGTGCCTCCCGCCGGCGGCCGGCGGCGGACGTTAGGGCGGGCCATTCAGAGGCGCCGGGGCGGCGTTCAGGGGCACCAGAGCGGCGTCCAGGGTCACCAGAGCAGTGTCCAGTGTCACCAGAGCAGTGTCTAGAGGCACCAGAACGGTGTGCAGAGTCACCAGAGTGGTGTCAACAGGCACCAAAGCGGCGTCCAGGGGCACCAGAGCGTTGTACAGAGGCACAGATCGGTGCTCAGATGCACCAGAGTGATGTCCAGAGGCACCAGAGCGGTGTCCAGAGGCATCAAAGTGGTGTCTAGAGGTACCGGAGCGGTGCGCAGAGGCAGCAAAGCGGTGTCCGGGGGCGCCAGAGCGGCGTCCAGGGTCATGAGAGCACTGTCCAGAGGCACCAGAGCGGTGTCCAGAGGCACCGAAGCGATGTCCAGAGGAACGCAGGCTGGGCCTCACATACCTCAGATGCCCCAGGAGGGTATGTGAGCGATGCGTAGAAGTATCCGAACGACATCCTCGGATACCTCAGCCGAGGTGTACGAGCGGCCTCCAGGAGCGTCGCAGCGCCGTCCCAGCGGAGGTATTCGGGTCGGGTCTCGGCGGCTAGGTGGCCCGGGTCCTGACCGGGTGTCTCCTGGTCTGCACGGTCCTGCGTGTGGTCTCCGCAGCCTACAGCAGGGGTACCCGACGAACGCGCCTGACAGCTGCCATATGGGTGGGCCTGGCTTTTGTGTTGAGAATGACGTGATTGGATCCTTTTACCATTCGTCGGGGACGCGCGATGATGTGCCGTTTTAGTTATGTATGGTGCATTATGTTTGTTTGGCGATTCTTATCGTGTTTATTCTTTACGTGAATTGATGATTGATTATGGTGCTAATGAAAAGGCTACGAGCGTCCTCATCTCCGGCGTCATTCTACGGGTGTGATATAGGCTGAGTGGTCGGTGGGCCTGAGAGCCACAGCAACAACTGGAAACGGACCTAAGAAGAAGAACTGTGTGGCGGTGGTGAGCAGACCCGAGGCCTTTCACACACCAGGCCAGCGGCCTAGATCACATGGCCTCCTACGTCGCAATTGTGGCCGTTTCCATCTGGTACGCCACGACAGCCTGGGCTACACACCGAGAGCGCTGTGGCACGGCCTGGGTTAGAGGTGGAGCGTCGTCTTCACAGCCGGCGCCGGTCACGACCGGGTCGTGACCGGCGCCGGTTGCTGCACGCATGACCCGCCGGTGCCGGCTCCTGCGCAGTGACCCGCCGGTGCCGGCTCCTGCGCGGTGACCCACCGGTGCCGGCTCCTGTGCGATGCTCGAGAGAGCGCCGCCTGATGCGGGAGCCACGTGACAGCTGAGGCGCCGCCCATCGGCTGGCTCGTGCAGCTGGCGCCAGGATGTGTGGCGCCGCTGAGGTTCAAGCGGAGCATGAGTGCCCAATGGGCCACCCATGCTCACGAACTCCTGTGTGTTTGCTCCCATGGATCGCTCTGAGTCGCTGTGGGCTGCCCTAGGTGGGCCGCTGTGGACTGCCCTGGGTGGGCCGCTGTGGGCTGCCCTGGGTTTCTTAGGCGGATGTGAACCCACCTGGCGCTAGTTACAAGCTCGAACTCGCCCATCTTGGGCTGGTTACGAGCTCGGCCCATATGTTCAGGCCGATCTGGGAGCCGGGCACTCGGACGGCGTACTTGCCGTCCGTACCTGCTCCTTTGTAGGACGGTCGACGAGAATAAAATATTTTATGCCCGCGTGCCGTGGTTTTTGCTGCATGGTGCCCACTTTCTAATTAATGCTTGTTAACAAGGATGTGGCCTGCACTCCCCTGATGAATGCCACGTTTTAAGATTACCGACGGACGAACGTCTCTTGCTCATCGTGGATCAGTCTGGCCCGCTGCATTACGATGGTATGCCGCGATAAACAGGGTGATGCGACCGACCGTTGGGATGAGCGTAACGGCTGACTTGCTTCTAGGAGGACTCGTGCCAGTGCTGCGGCATTTTTAGCGGCTGTGTGTGGCCGGTTCTTTCGTGACCGATACACCGTCCCGTATGTGGGGTATTAATTTGATTGTGCCTTTATTAGACGTGCCCCGCGTTTGGTCTCTCTCACTCGCAGTCGCCGTTTTCATCAGGATGTCCCGCCTTCCCGAGTCTCACTGTGGCTTCCACAGGGCCCCCGGTATAACTGCAATCTCCTCTCCGTCCACGCGTCCACCGTGGCGTCCGCTCGGGCCTCGGTGTTGCCATATACGGGCGAGCACAGTCGCGCGTTTTCCCGCTCCCCGACCGATGTATGCGGGGTTATCCACAACGTGGTCGGCCACCACCGTGATCTCCCCACGGCGCGCCGTGATCTCCCCACGGTGCCGGCCCGGCTGTGATCTCTCCACGGTGCCGGCCCGGCCGTGATCTCCTCACGGTGCCGGCCCCGTCCGTGATCTCCCCACGATGCCGACCCCGTCCGTGGTCTCCCCACGGTGCCGGCCCCGTCCGTGATCTCCCCACGGTGCCGGCCCCGTCCGTGATCTCCCCACGGTGCCGGCCCCGTCCGTGATCTCCCCACGGTGCCGGCCCGGCCGTGATCTCCTCCCCACGGTGCCGGCCCGTCCGTGATCTCCCCACGGTGCCGGCCCGGCCCGTGATCTCCTCCCCACGGCGCCGGCCCGGCCGTGATCTCCCCACGGTGCCGGCCCGGTCGTGATCTCCCCACGGTGCCGGCCCGGCCGTGATCTCCTCCCCACGGTGCCGGCCACCGGCGCGACCGGTGCGGCCCGGTCCGCTCGGCGCGGCCGGCTGTGCGCCGCCGGCCGCCGCGTCAGTCGGTGCGCCGCCACCGAGCCGCGAGCACCGCCGCCCGTGTCGTCCGTGCCGCCCGCGCCGCCCGTGCCTCCCGTGCCTCCCGTGCCGCGCCGCTCCGCTCCGGCCGGTGGTGTGTGCCGCGTCGCCCGGCGCCAGGACAGCGCGGCGAGCGCAGCCGACCAGCGCGGACCCAGTGCGACCTGCGCTGCGGGCGTGTGGGAGGGAGCCCTGTGACCGGCCGTCGCGTGGAGCGTCGCTGGTGCTCAGCCGCCGGGCAGGTCATGGACGGTCGCGTCTGACCGCAGTTAGCGCGATGGTGGCCAAAATGGCGGCGCAGCCGCCGCCCGACCCCTCGGAAAACCTCATCAACAAATGTGAGTAACCCTTCAGGTGGTGTGAGAAGGGTTCGCGCACAGTTCTGGTCTGCGGCGGCGTGGACTAGCCGGAACGGTGACGTGACGAGGTGCCATCTCGCCGCCCCAGTCTCGCTTTCGAACGTGCTGCCTTCCGCCCCGCTCAACACAGAGCTGGCATGTCTGACTGGCTGGTGTCGTTCCAACTGACGGTGGCATTATGCTGCAATGGCTGTTTGTTATCCCGTAACAACGAGTCGTGGCGACGGTATGCCTGTTCGGCGTGAGCCCTGGGCGTGGACGAAACAGTTCCGAACATGGTCATTTAATGAGTGTTGAAAATGATCCACTGCTTTAATGGCAGAAAGTGACGACGTATTCTGGTATGTTAAGTGTTTCCAAGCGGCTATTGTTTCGTTCTCGTATGGATATTGCAACATAAGACGAAACTCAACTGCATTGCCCTTGGTGTGTCTATTAAGCGCAACAATGTAATCGGGTCTAATTCCAGCAATTACTAAGAAGTCATTGCTGGCAGTGGCCCGGCTCCCAAAGCATGGGTGTGCTGTTATAGCTCCACCGAACATTTCCACATAGTTTTCGGTTGTAGAAATTCGCCGAGTGCTCGTGCCACTGATGTGAAGCATCTACGGTCGTAATAGGGCGTGTATGCTGAAATCAGATCGTGGACAATGCGGCAAATGTCCGCGATGCGTGGGAGATCTGATGTAAGTGCTTCAGGGGAAGCGATAAGTTTGCTTTAATTGTCGGAGCCCTCGAGGCGATCAGTATCAGAATTGTCGCCGTCAGTTTGATCGCCGCATTATCCCGCCTTTCGTCTTGGATTTGCCTCCCAGAAAGCTGTTTGTGATCTATCCCATTCCAATCCATTCCCAATAGGCCATTGGCTCATCCAGTCGTACCGATTTGACCCGAGCTAGATCTCGTTCTCGGGAGCCTCTGCGGGCTGTGACCGCTGCCACCGTGCGCTCTGAGGTGAAGCCAAGGCGTCAGCCGCGGCCACGTGGTTGAACTTCGCTGTGATGGACGCACCAGCTGGCCTCAGCTGCCAGCAGCACTGTTTTCTCACTTCGCAGTTGGTCGGGTGTGTTTGATGCGCGCCGCATTCTGTGATGATTGCTGGTTGTCGGTTTTGGGATGTCCGCTGAAATTGAGAACGATCTCTCCTGCCCACTGCAGTGCTCATCATTTACCCTAGTGGCCGCTTTTCCGCTAAAAAAATAACGACGAACTATGAAGCGAGAACGCACAGCAGAAGACTGAAATGGTAACCTGCCGTCGCAGCCGGACGCGATGCTGGGCGGGAGGCTCCGGTCCGGTGTCACAGCCGGGCGCGATGCTGGGCGGGAGGCTCCGGGCCGGTGTCGCAGCCGGGCGGGAGGCTCTCGCGGCCGGGCGGGAGGCTCTGGCCAGTGTCGCAGCCGGGCGGGAGGCTCTGGCCGGTGTCGCAGCCGGGCGCGATGCTGGGCGGGAGGCTCCGGTCCGGTGTCGCAGCCGGGCGCGATGCTGGGCGGGAGGCTCCGGTCCGGTGTCGTAGCCCCGGGCCGCGCTCGGTGCGGCGGTTCTCACCGGCGGCGTCGTGTGAAGTCCGCCACGGCGGCCGGCGTCGCCGGCGGGCCGGTCCGGCGCCGGCAGACGGGGACCGGCGCCGGCAGACGGGGCCCGGCGGCGGCGGCGGCGGCGGCTGTCAACGCCCGGTTACCGCCGGGCCGCCGCCGGCCACGCGCGGCCCTGGCCCCCGCCGCTCGCGCCGCGCCCCGGCCACGGCGCCTCGGGCGGGGGTCTCTCGTGGCGGGCCGTCCAACAAAGGTGACGCCGCCGGCTGATGGTTGGGGAGCGGCGGGTAGGTCAGGCCCGTTGCGTCGTCCTCGCGTAACGCCATAGACGCAACACAGAACAATGTTTTGTCGAGTAACTCCCCCCCCCCCCCCCCGTCTTTGCGGTGCCGCCAATGCCCGGAGCTGACCTGCTGGGCAACCACGTGTTGGACTCGGAACAGTTCACGCGCGCCGATAGAGGGAAGGTGTGGCACTGGCATACTCGCAGCGTGGCTGGGGAGCCCGGAGCTCTCCGCTGTCCGTCCGGCAGACAGGCAGCGCAAGATACCGACATCACACCCGCTGTCCTTTGTTATTTGATCAAGCGAATCTCTTTGATGGCCATTCAGTTGTTAGGCGTCAGGGTGGCCCAGCGAGCAGTTGTCCCGCAGTGTATACCGCTCCAGCGCGGTGTTTCACGTCAGTCTCAACCCAGGCTAACTGTTCAGTCAGGCTGGGCGGCCGCAAAGTCCGCAAATGCCCAGGTAGGGCGTTTGCGGGGCGCCACCGCTCGTCCAGTGAGTGGGGGTGGCGACAGAGCGGCTGCCTTCCGCCAGTCGCGGGGTGGGACCGATGGGACTGGTAGGATCAATGGGGCCGGTGGGACTGGTGGGATCAGTGGGGCCGGTGAGGCAGGTGAGACCGGGGGGGACCGACGGGACCGGTGGGACCAATGGGACCGGTGGGACCATTGGAACCGGTGGGATCGATGGGGCTATCGGGACCAATGGGACCGTTGAGACCAGTGGAACCGGTGGGACCAGTGGGACCGGCGGGACCGGTGGCACCAGTGGGACCAGCCCCGCACAGCCGTCCGTCTCAGCGCCGTCCGTCTCACGGGCGCTGGCCGGCGACACCACCGCTCAGCGCAAACACGGACGGCTGGCGGCGCCCGCCAAAGCGGCCGAGCCCGCGCGCTAACTGGTGTTTGTCCGTGGGACGCGGCGCCCAGCTACCTGCCCATCGACCCCCACCCCAGGGCGAGGGGAGGGGAGGTCCGGCCCGGGCGCATGGCAACCTGGCGTGACAGCGTAGGCGGGGCTCGGTTGGTAAGGCTGGCGTTGGCTGGGGAGGGAAGCCAGCTGGGTATGTCGACCGTGCGCCAGCTGAACTGGACTGGTGACCTTGTGACCCCCGGATAGGTCAGATATGGTCAGCGAGGCTGGCGGCTGACCGCCCGTCGCCGCGCTATTTGTAATGACGGTGGTCGTGGCTCCGGACGCGGTCCGGGTCCGGGTTGCGGCACTGCGACCTCAGGTCGGAGGCAGCCCGGATTGCCGACGTCGAAGCGACGCTCTGCGCGTGCTGTCTGCCGCCGACGGCTCGCCGCCCAGCTGAAACTCGCGATGAATCGGCGTGCGAATGACGCAGTTTTGGATTGTGTTGTTAAACCATTGTTCGCGCTCTTGACGCTGACGAATGGTACGACGACTTTTGATCGCCATTGACGCTGGTCGACACTACTTAATGACCGCCCGGGATGTGTTTGTGCGTGGCCCTAGCATTCCTTTGCAGTGAGCGGCCTCAGGTCTCTCACCCCAGAGTTTCCACCCGGCCGGCATGTGCCCCTCCCCCTCGCTGTTCCCCCACCGCGATCGCGGGACATCGCGCGCAGTTGGCCGGCCGGCGATTCGCAATCAATTACGGGCGATGACAGATCGAAGTTCGCCGCCGGACTGATCGGCCCGGGGGTCGGGCAGGGGCGGATCCATGGAGGGAACCGGGTCGGGCCTCCCGACGTCCAGTCATGTGCCAGGTCCGCGTCTGAGCTCAGCCCGACGGGCGCGTGGTGTTGGCGAGACGCTCCCCGTGGATGGGCGCAGGTGCTGCGCCGGGGAGCGAGCGCGCCTCCAGCGGGCGGCTGGACCGTCTGGAGCGACTGCCCGCCCCGTCAGACCCGGGCAGTCGGGTCTGCTAGCCGCCCCGTCAGACTCGGGACAGTCAGGTCTGCTGACCGCCCCGTCAGACTCGGACAGTCGGGTCTGCTAGTCGCCCCTTCAGACCTGAACAGTCGGGCACTAACCGGCACCTCGCCAGGTGGCGCATCGACAGCTCGCTCGAGTGACCCGACTCAAGTCCGCACGCCAGGACAGTCCCAGCGTCAGCCCCTGTGGCGGGCCTCGGCCGGCCTGCTCTCCCTGACCAGCCGGCGGTGGTACAGCCCGGAACCAGCCGCGTCCCGCCGCGACCGCTGGCGCGTGGCGGTGACCCCCGATGGCCCGGCAGAGGCCCGGTGCAGCGCCGGCCGGTCCGTCTGCACGTCCGGCTGGTCACCCGGTGCACACCCGGTTGGTCAGCCGGTGTACACCCGGCTGGTCCCGGTGTACACTGGGCGCTGCCGGTGCACACCCGGCTGGCCAGCCGGTGCACACCGGCCACCGCCGGTGCAGGTGCCAAACACGCTCCGGGTGAGCACAGGCGCGCTGGGGGGTCCAGGTGTCACTGGGGTCGGCTCGTGCCGGGGCGCAGGTCGTCGCGGCCGCTGGGGACCTCCCCGTTGGCTACTATGCTGTGGGTGAAGGGATCGTGATCGATACTGTCGCGGCAGGTGACCACCCAAATACGACAAAACCACTGCTGACGCATCGTGAGCTGATCAGGTCCAAAGGCTGTCACTGATCCTCATAACCAGGCCATCCAGTCCACTGGGACCACCCCGCTCCGGCCCGTCGGTAGCGGCCGCTGCTGACGCCGCCGCTGATGACGCCGCCGCTGATGACGCCGCGCCCCGTGTCCCTGCAGACCGTGGGAGCGCCCGGCGGCGGCGGCGGCGGCAGCGACGCCTCCCCGCCCGGGGGCTTCCTGTCAGGTGGCTCCCCTCCCCTCCCGCCCCCAGTAATAGACGGGGGCGTTGGCCCCTGGCCGGGACGACCCGCTCGGTAAACACGGCTCCCGGCTGGGGTGTTGGACGGCCGGTGGTGAGCGCGGGGACACACGGGGAGCTGCGGGAGGCGGGCCGCGCTGGCGGGGGCGTGAAGGGACCAGGGGCGGCACCACCAACGGTAACGCGTTCCCTATGATGCCCTTGATATTTGTCGTAACACCTTATAGTCAATCATGCGATTTTGAAATTTACATTTGGATTTAATTAGACCGCATCAGCCTAAATAGCCCGTCCGTCATCGCTGCCGTGTTCTGTCGGTGGTCTCGCCACCGTCTGCCATCGCTGCCGTGTTCTGCCGG